GGGACCGACATCTCTGTAAAAGGTGGGCCACCCCTGTCTGTAAGAGAGAGTCCCAGGACGGAGGGGGCCAAAGGGAACCCCCTTCTAAAAAAAAAAAAAAAAAAAAAAAAAAAAAAAAAACTATGAAAAATTATTTGAAAAAATTTGAAAATTTTTATTTATGTGGATATGTGTGTGTGCCTGCATATCTGTATGTGTTCCATGTGTGTGCAGCACTCGCAGAGGCCACATCATGTCCCCTGGAACTGGAGTTACAGGTGTTTATGAGCCTCCCTTTGTGGGTGTTGGGAACTGAATCTGGGTCCTCTGGAAGAACAGCAAATGTTCTTAACTGCTAAGCTATCTCTCTAGCCTTCTATAAAAAATTCTTACATACTCTTCACCCACATTCTTCAGTGTTAATATTTTGCACAAAATCAGCACAATTAACAAAAAAAATAGTCAACACTGGGGGAAGATAAAAGAAGTGGACTTGGTGACACAGCCTGTAATCACAGTGCTTGGGAGTCTGAGGTAGGAGAATCAAGAGTTTGAGGCCAGTCTGGACCACACAGTGAGACCTGTTCAAAAACTAAAACAAAACATACTGTAGTATGTAATTTTTTCTTATTACCTAAGTAAGTCATGCTTATTATAGAAAATCTCCATGCCAGAGAAATACAGAAAGAAAGTTTAAGCTACATAAAATCCATTCAGTATAGCAGGCAGGGCTGAACTGGCAGAGGCTGGGTGGAGGCCTGCACACTGGGCCTCCTAGTAGAAGTCTCTATTCTGGAAGCTCATGGTGGGGGTGGGGGCAGCTGGGCCACCGCTGGTTCCTTCAGTCTGACCAGCTCAGGAGCAGATGTCTTGATGCTGGCTTGGGATCTGTAATGAGCATGCCCTTTTGCCCTTTTCTTTCTCTTTGAACTTGCCATGCTGAGTAGGAAATTGAAGGATGTCCCATTACTGCCCTCCCTGGATTATGAGAAACTGAAGAAGGATTTGATTTGGGGGAGTGACCGCTTAAAAGCCTTCTTGTTGCAGGCTCTGCGCTGGGTAGGTACCGTTCCCTGTTCCCTTGAAGTTAAAAAACAAAACATAGAAGACAAGGCCAGTCCTGCCTTTCTTGGCTGACTGCTCCCTTGTATCTCGTAACCCTCCTTTAAAAATCTTGCTTCCTGCTGCCCACTGCCTCCAAGACCTGAAGTTAAACATAGTTCCAACCTGGTCTGGTGGTACACACCTAGAAGCCAGCCAGGGTTACACAGTGAGACCCTGTGTTTTATGTTTTTTGTTTTTTAAATATTTTTATTTTATGTGTATGAGTGTATTGCCTGCATGTATGTGAGTGCTCCTGTGTCATGCAGTGCCGTGGAGGTCAGAAGAGGGCTTTGGATTCCCCTGGAA